TTAAGGGGGACAATATTCTGGGTAGGTAGCACAGTCAGAGAGTACTGCATCTCAGGATGGATTTCTTCAACATGGCAGATACTGATGGCGATGGAAACTTGACTGCTCAGCCTAATGTAGGTCACAGTTGGTCAACGTGTTTATATGACAGGATATGTGACCATCCATCCCCTAAACCCATAACTTTTTTTCACATGGAAAGAACCATGCAAAACACACGCAACACAAAAAGACAAATTGAGGATATATGTCCATCGATGAGGGCTTTGACGCCTTAGTCAAGCACCTGCATCAGACCACGGGGCGCGAGGCCATAGATCTGTTGCCTTGTGCATGCTGTGCTGGGGGAGTCAATGTCATTAGAAGCTCGTAATCTCTGTAGTGCTACTGAAGTTAGTCTCGGGATGTAGAGGGATTTTTTTAGGATGTAGGATCCAGGGTTTAGGGTTTCCCAACATTAGGGATACTTGTTTGGGGGTCCCCATAATAAGGATGACCGTATTTTGGGGTCTATATTGGGGTTCCCTTTTTTGCGAAACTACCTTGTACTACTCGTGCCGCTAGTAGGATTATTATGAAAATACGGTGTTATTGCAATTAGTACCTCCGTCATCATTGTCGATATGACATTTAGTGCGCCTGGTGCTGTTGCTCATAAGCTAGGTGGGATTTTGCTACGACTTTAGCACTTCATGGCTTTTGGCCCTAAGCCTAAACCTTAAACCCTCAACCCAACACCCAAGTTCCTCTCTTTCATAGTAACTGAGCTAAAATTCAAGCATTTTGGTATCGCCAACATTAGTCGTGTTAGTATTACGATTCTCATTCTTGGTATTATTGTTATGGATATTAGTAGTAAGTAGTACTGTCAGTATTATTGCCATTATTGATATTTAGCATTATTGCTGCTGCTGTTATGAACCCAGAACCCTTTATACCCTCAACCCGAATACCCCCGTATAAGCCCCAGGCCCTACCTAAACACTAAACCCCCGGTTATTTGAAACTATGTATCATGGGTTCCCCTACTACCCCCCTCATAGGTTCCCCCCTAATTAACCTTAATGGGGCCTAATTATCATCAAATAGTTTTAAGTACTAGAGGGGGGTGTAGTATAGAGAGGGGTAGTAGGGGAACCCTCAACCCCAAACCCTAAATCCCAAACCCTAAACCCCACACCCCAAAACCCTAAACCCCAAACCCTAAACCCCCAAGCCCTAAACCCCCAAACCCCAAACCCTAAACCCTAAACCCTAAACCCCCAAACCCCAAACCCTAAACCCTAAACCCCAAACCCGAAACCCCCAACCCTAAACCCCAGCAAGGTGAAGGCTGAGGAGGCCTTGGAGCTGCGAGGAGTGTTGAAGGCGGCGGACTCCACCGGCTCAGGTGCCTTAGACTGGACTAGGGGTTACAAAGGGGATATATAGGGGTTATAGGGGTTACATAGGGGATATACCCCAATAATGGAGAATCAAATGGAAAAGAAAATGGAAAATGAAATGGAAACTGGGATTATAGGGTTTATAGGGGTTATATAAAGGTGATAGAGGGGGAGGGATAATGGAAAAGGAAATGGAAACTACTTTTTCGGGTTTGGGGCTTAGGATTTAGGGTTTTGAAATTCAGGGCTTAGGTTTCAGGAGTTTAGGGTTTAGGATTCAGGCCTTACAGTTTTGAGCGGAACGGCTTCGGCGTTCAGGAGTTAATTAGCTGGTACTTTGGGATCATTCTTAAGTTCCTTTCACAAGTAGTTTTATGGGAATCTGACGTACCATCCAGACGAGCCGCTGTCCACGTTGAGACTGCTTGAATTAAGTTGCCATGAGATGGACATACTGTAAATGTTTGGGTTTCCTTAAAATGGCAACCTAGCTTAAGTTGCGTAATGGCAACGCTAACCCCGAAACCCTTAAACGGCAACCCAGTAGTGGCACAGGCAAGCTGAACTACTTGGAGTTCCTGCTTCTGTTCGATCGACAGTCGCCACGCTCACTGACGCATCAAGCAGTCCTAGATCTGCTTTGCTTTCAGGCCGTCGCCCGAACTAGTAGAGGGATATATAGATACATATATATATATATGTATACTTATAGGGGTATGTAGTATATGGGAAAAACACACCGTTGTACAGAGTTTTTATTGGGATTTTATGGGGGGTATGAAGGGATATGTGTGATCTCGGAAACCCCAAGAATGGAAAGTCAAATACAACATACAACGGAAAATGAATGGCAATGGCAACTGGTGTTGTGTAATGAGTTATAGGGAAGGGTTTCCAACCATGCAGCACTTACGATGGGGGAGGTTCATGTATATCTTTTCAATGCGTTGGATAATATTAATAAGTTTGATATATACATTGGGCTGGGCCCCCATCCACTGATAATGGTATACTAGGAATATGTAAGGACTCTCAAATAATTACCATCCTCTTGTGGTCACTATTAGTGGTGTGGGCCCAACCTAATATATACAGCACTCAACATTACCCCTATCATAGACTGTTACCTAGTGGGGGGCAGTATCCAAAGTCTGGGTCCAAGGTTGTCGTCGAAAGGAAGTCACGAGCTCTCCCAACTGACTGGTGCTTAATAGGGAAATAGGGGAAATTAATCCCTAAAAGAGCTATAGCGAAAATTCCTTTAACAGGGTTCTGTAAGCAAATATATAGGGGATACTTAAGGGTAATTCAGGGGGATACTAGGAGTTTAGTCTATAGCTCATATACTATATTCCCTCATTCCCTCACTAACCCCTGTAAGAAAATTGGAAGTCAACGCAACGAGGCAAACTGTTTCGAAAAAGTGCTTTGATGTGCCCTAGACTTTGTCACATGATGAGGTTCCAAGACTATCTTCAACATGTGTAGTCGCCTTGAGACAACTTATTGGCATGCTGGATTCTTCGAAGCTGTGGTCGTACTGTTAGGGAGCCGAGAATAAGATATGAATAGTAATGATAGTAATAATTTTAACCGTTATAATAGTAATCATATTAGTAATACTCATAGAAGTATCATATTATTAATAATAGCTGTAATAATCATACATTGTAATTACAATAATTGTATTTCTAGCACGAATAGTAGCAATATGTAGCAAGAGTAATAGTAACAACTGTTATAATAGTAAGAATGATAATTGGAAGAATCACAAAAAGATACATGTAATACTTGTAAGAATAGTGCTAATTGATAGTCCTCATATTACCAATAGTAATAAGAATAATAGAGGCAAGGTTAGGAAGCCCCGCACCGGCCAGGTGTGGGCGCACCGCAACGCCTTGTCCGGGCTCTTCCGGTACGTGGGACATGATGGGCTCATTTCCCGAGACCAGGCAGGTGTTTCCCGGTTTAGGGTTTAGAGTTTGCTTCATGTTAGTTCGAGAGTTTGGATAACTAGAAGGATTGTGAGAATCGAATGGAAAAGCAAATGGTTCGGGGCTAGGTCGAGAAAAACCTGGTAATTACAAATACAGGAAACGCCAGTGTTTCATTGGGGGGGACCCCAATGTAGACCTCAAAATGCTACAGTTCCTACTATAAGGACCTCAACAAGGTACCCCTAATTTTGGGGAAGCCCCCATATACACCCAGTTGAGATGCGAAGATCTGCATGTGAGTAGTGATGCGAGGGAGGGGCAAGAGGCGTTTCCTGACAAGGGCAGGTCTTGTGAGCCACGGAGAAACGCCATAGTAAGGAAACCCTATGATTTACTTCATATCCATACTATGGTAACTTAAACCCCACATACTGGTGACTTAAATTAAGTTCCTTAACAACCCTAAGCCCCTAAATCATAAACCCAAAACTCTATACCCGAAACCCTCAACCCTTAACCCTCCGCTTAACCCTAAACTGAAAACGTCACCTATCCAGGTGAAGTGGTGCCTGGAGGCCTTGAATTCCTCGATCAACGGAGAGTTGTTACAGGCCGCAGATAGGGGTTTAGGGTTTAGGCTTTTAGGGCTTAGGGTTTAGGGTTTACGCAAAGTAACCGCAGTTTCCATTTCATCTTCCATTTTCTTTGCATTTGTGTTAGAGCACGCTCGAGCTACGTTCAATCAAAAATTTGCATATTTTTTTTCAACTCTTGATGCTTACTGAAGGCCCCAACCCCAAAACCTAGATAACCTCTATAGGACCCTATATACACCCTGTAGAGCCCGATGTTTCCCAATTGAACCCTCTACAATAACCTCTATACTTCTGAATATCCTTAACTTGGAGGTTCCGGGTAGCCATAATGTAACCAAATTATACACGTGCCAGAGGACTTAGGAGGCTCACAATTGGGTTATAAGTGCAGTCATAACTGCGTTAAGATTACCTTGAACCTCCAATCAGGATACGCGGGGATCATAAGGGATCACCGTTCCGATTCATTACGTGCCCAGGCCAACATAGAGCAGATAGTGAAGGCAGTCAAGTTCAAAGATGACTTGGTTGCCGCGGAGCAACTTCTGAGCGCGTTTCATTTAGTTGATTTGTTAAGCAACACCTGACCTGACGATCGGCTTGCTGGGAACTTTGCCAAGGGACCTTGTGCAGGACGCGGGCTACACTAGCTCACTGGTGGTTAGTAGATGTTAGTAGGGAATAAAGGAATATTATCCCTATATTCTACATCTACTATATTCCCTTATTCCCTATTGGCACCGTCCTGCAAGGGGCTTTTGGTAGTGTTCCTAGATGACGAGCCTCGAGCATTGTCTGGATTTAAAGATGCGAAAAAGGAACTCAAGTACTAAACAATTGGGGGAAAATATTTTCGCCCATTTAGTACTTACAAATATTTCCCCCAATTGTTTGGTGCGTGCAAAGGCATTCGAAGCACGCCGGCTTTTTGCACAGTTGCTCGATGATTCTTGCAGGTCTACATACCTCAAGGCTTTCTATGGCATGAGATGTTTGCGGGGACTTCACACTCCTGTGGCATCATCAATACGGGTGCCCTGTTGGCAGAAAGGTATGCAGCAGCCAGACATGTCAGAACTTGGCTCTTGAGCTTTAGCCCATTTATCTCCACTAAATGATAGCTTCCATAAGCAGGGGACCCCAATAGGGTTTAGGGTTCCAAAGACCCGAATTTTGGGAAAACCCCTTCAGACTTCCAGCCAAGGTGAGACGCTCTGCTGGGGAAGAACCCGGGAAGGGCAGTGTGATGTACCTCGAGGATACAGCAAGCGCCCCATCTCCTGATTGGGTTTGCTGATAAGGAACTTAAATTCAATTTCCTTATATGCGTGTATGGTGAATAATAGGGTTTCCTTATCACAGTAACCTTAAACCCTCTCTACCTTTAAGTTAAGTTACCGTACTTGGTATACATAAAGAATCGATAATGTGGATCCTCAATTATAGTATCCTTCAACCCTAAACACCATAATAGCAACTTTAATTCAGTACGGTTTCCTTGTTATAGTGATCCTAAACCCTAAACCCTAAACCCTAAACCCTAAACTTAACAGCAGCCCAGCATCTGGTTTGATGGGTTTTCTTGGCTGATGTGTCTGCAGGTTTCGTCAGGCTCACCTTGGGAGAGGCCAGTACTACTCCTTGCATGCTGGGGTTTAGGGTTTAGGGGTTTAGGGTTTAGGGATTGGGGTTTAGGGTTTAGGGTTTAGGGTTTAGGGTTTAGGGTTTGGGATGATGGGGAAATATTATTACAGGGTATACATTAGAAAAGGAAATGGAAATTCGTATATAATAATAGGGTTGTTATTGGGCTTATAGTAGGGAGTAAAGGAATATAATCCTTTCATGCTGCTATTCAACAAGTCCCTCAATATGTAAGGTGTCATAATGGAGAAACATTGACTATTCAGGGTGGGGGGGCATGTTTAGTCTAATGTTAGTATGAAGGGAGTATCTCAACCTGAGCATAAGCAGCATAAGCAGATACCATGTGCACCGCAGCAGAGAGGTGTTTACATTCAAAATCCTGGACATCGGCAGGCTTTCACCTGTGGCCTTACAGTAAATGCGGAGCTCCTGTGCTGGGGGAGCGACCTCGACAACGAGCTTGGAGTTCCTCGGCCAAGAGCAAGAGCCCGTTACCAACACCGCCACGGATCCTTAAATGGTGGAAACCCTACACCCTAAACCCTGTACATCCTCATGTGCTCCCATGCAACCCTCATAACCCCCCTTATCTGCCAAGCATATACTGTGTACCCCTGAATCTCGCTCCGAGGTGCCAACAGGGAACACGTGGCTACAAGCAAGCGCTGGACTTGTCCACACCTGTGCCGTGAATGCCACTGGTGTCATGCACTGCTGGGGAAAGCAAGGCTCATGCAGTGTCAGTCAGGCCTTAAGTGCAGATCGTGAGCATCTCGTTCTGTCACAGGCTATGGAAGGCAGGCGATTCCGTATCAGGACAATGCCGATGTTGTGTGGGAGGCCAGGGTGCATGCCTGAATGTGTTCTAGGGTAGAACCTTGACCCCTACATACACCCCAAGTTATTCTCCTTGTTATGGGGACCCAAATCATACCCGTGTTTTTGGAAACTCTCCTTCGTGCTCACTGAACTAGGAGGCGGCCTGTGGCGATAGACACTGCTGCGGCATTGTCGCCCAGACTTCGCTGCAGGCACTGAGCTTCCGGCAGGAGGACCATCGGCTGCAAACTTTAGAGTTTAGGGCTTAGGATATCACTCCAATGATGAGCATCAAATGGAGAAGACAACCGTGGACAACTACATGGAAACTGGGTTTTATGTAGGGCATTTTAGGCATCAGGGTTTCCGAAAATAGAAGGCCCTGTTGGGGAGTCCCTGAAAGAAGGATTACAATACATTGGGGTTTACATGGGGGCCCAAACCCCCACTGCAAACTTTGCTGTTGGGACAGGACAATGTGATATGTTGGGGTGACAACAATGAGTTGCAGCTGCAAGTGCCGGGGAAGGACCGGGCTGGCTTTTGAGAATCATAATACGGATGATAAAAACAATATAGTGAAAATTTGGAATAGTAATAATGACAGTAGTAGTGATAGTAACAGTAATAGTACTAGTACTCGTACTAGTAGTCGTAATAGCAGCAGCAGCAGTAGTGATTGTGGTGACGCCGCTACATGAGACTGCCACTGGAGGATGAGGGGCGAAGTGGTGTCCAGGAGCCGAATGTCTCGCAGTTTAGGGTTTACTTGGAGGTTCAGGCTAGTTCTTTGGGCCCAATTGTAACCACATTAAGGACTGACCAGGAGGTGTCTAATTGCTTCCCACTTTAAGTACCATATTGATTGGGTTGCAGGTACCCTGAACCTCCAAGTAGGGCTTAGGCCTTGCAGCATGCTGGAAGCGAGCCGTCCTTGAGAGCCGCAGGAAACCCCGAAGAAGGCACCCAAAAACTCAGGTGCAGCGTTTAGGGTTTGGGGCAATACTATGGGCCCTGAAGACACAAAAAATGAATGGTAGTTTTGGGTGTAATCTTCTAGGAGAAGTGCGTCATGACTTAGTTCGACCATCAAAACCACAACCGTCATGTAGGAGACCTTTAGTACAATCTCTGCTGGCAACTTCCACACCTGTGGCCTTACCTTGGGCTTGGACGTTTGGTGCTGGGGCCGCGTCAGCATTTATCGTGCGCTCCCAAGTTCAACGCTGGGTTGCTATTAAGGCATTTAGGGTTTAGGGTTTAGGGATAATGGTTTAGGGTTTAGGTATTACGGTTTAGGTATTAGGGTTTAGGGATTAGGGTTTAGGTTCGCCCTAGCGGGAAAACATCATATTGGCTGCAGACCTCCATTGCGGTAACCCAGCTTCTCTAACTGCGGTATATTTACGATATACTATACTTTCCCTATACTATCCTATAATGCACTACAATATACTTTGATATACTATAATATATCATAATGTACACTATAATATACTACAATATACTATAATAAACTATAAACCCAGTTCAAGTCATTGGGTGGTTTCGGCAGCTATGTTGCGTGGTCTCAGGTTTGAATTTCAGGACGCCCTCCAATGCCACCATGTTGAGCGCTGGTGGCATCCACGCTTGCGTGCTAGATGTCAATCGTAAGGCAAGAGCCAGTCGTCCAAAGGGTTTCAGGTTTAGGGTCGTAGGGCTTTAGGGTTTTAGGGTTTACGGGTTTTAGGTTTTAGGGTTTAGGGTTTAGGGCTTTAGGGTTTTGCTACTAATGTTACTCCTATCATTACTATTCCCAAAAAGCTTCTCACTGTGACCGCTAATATTCCTGCTGTTACTAGTCTTCCTAAAAGTCTTATCACGGTTACTAGTACTACTACAGGTACTACTCTTCCTAAAGGCTTATGGCTGTCACTACTACTTGGAGGGTCAAGGGGACTTGGTAAGTAGGCTACTATCCCCTATCACCCATATAGTAACCCTAGTTATCCCCCTTATTAACTAACTTACTAAGGCCCCCTGACCCTAAACCCTAAACCCTAATCCCCAAACCCTATACTTACTTAGTATCTTCCATTTTTCCCATCCCCATTCCTGTTACTACGGCTCCTTGGCGGTTTGCGCCGGATCCTCGCAGGCCAGATGCTGGGGTGGCGACAGTGACTGGGTTGCCGTTGAGGATTCGAGGTTTAGGGTTTAGGGTTTAGGGCTTCGGGTTTAGGGTAAGGAACTTTTTCCTTCGTAACTACCACCCCCGAGCCCCTAAACCCTCAACCCTCTATATATTATGGCCATGTTATGGTAAAACCCTAAAACCTAGACCCCCAATCCTATAATCTAAACTCTAAACCCTAATCCCTAAACCCCCACCCCTATTATGGTAGCTTCATTTCAGCTCCTTAACAGCAACCCAGGTGAAGGCCAGGCAAGTGTGCCCCTAGACTCCGCAACCTATCCGCCGGATGCCCAGAAAGAAGAATCAGGGTTTCGGGCTTATGATTAGGAAAGCCCCCACCCCCTAAGAAAAAGATTCATTTTATGATAAATCTATAATATACTGTGCATTCATTTTCGATTTAAGAGGGGTGAGGGCTTGGGTAGTGGGAAGAGATTGGTTTTCTGAAGTCAAGCTTGGATGAGCCTACAGCAGAGGCCTTCCATCTTGGACTACTCCAACGATCCGCTGGACATCAATGGAGAGGAGATTGAGAATGAATCCTAGGGGGTGAGGGTTTAGGGTTTAGGGTTTAGGGCTTAGGATCCAAATATAAGTGTCAGTGCTAGTATTGCGAATATGAGCTATTGTCTACACTCCTAGTATCCCCCTTAGTCCCCTATATCACCCCTACAAAATCCCGCTTTACGGAGTTTAGACCCCAAACCCTAAAACCTAAACCCTCAACTCCCTAAACCCTAAACCTAAACCTTACCCGGCCTTCCCTGCAGGATCCCACGCAGCGGATTTATGAATACATCCCTGGCTACTCGACGCCACTGAGGCTGGAAGGGCATGTGAGCTATAGTCTTCACTCCTTCGAGTGGGGTTATATAGGGACTATTTAGTGGAGTATTATAGGGGTTATTATGGGGAATACTAGGAGGTTTAAACTACCCATGT